TATGATATTCACGGGTCAGATTGAGAGCAAGAATGCAAACAGCGCATGATAAGCTTAAGGAAAAGAGGATGGCAACGAAAAGACAAAAGTTATTAAGAACAACAAAGGATAGGAAATTGTGGAGAGCCACGATCACCTACGTCCTGAGGAGACACGGCACATCAAGAAGAATAAATGTTAATCCTTGTTGAGATAATTTCATGGAAAAATGTAAGATTTTAGAAATTGCTTATTTAAACTGCAGTATTCCTCATCAAAAAACAGCAAGTGCTTGTGGAGTGTGAAAATTCGACAACATTCCTGTCTTTTCGTAATCAGTTCGTGGCACGAGAATCCGTGAAGAAAAGTCAAAGAAATGAAGGAAGTTAAAAGAAAAGTGTCACGAATGGAGGAGCTTACGAGAATAGATTAACAAATGAAGAAAAGACTCACAAATAATGGACTTTACAAGAAAAGATTAACAAATGAAGAAAAGACTCACAAATAATGGACTTTACAAGAAAAGATTAACAAATGAAGAAAAGACTCACAAATAATGGACTTTACAAGAAAAGATTAACAAATGAAGAAAAGACTCACAAATAATGGACTTTACAAGAAAAGATTAACAAATAAATGGCCTTAGAAGAAGACTAACAAATAAAAGACCTTAGAAGAAAAGCAACCAACTGCAGGAAAAAAATCTGCCTCGTCAGTCATGTTTCGAAAGATACATGATCGCCTAAGCATGTATCACGCATGGCACATAATTGATTAGAAGTAAAGGCTAAAAAAAATTAATGATGTTAGGAACATGCATGATTGTAAGTTTAATATTTTTTGTAGCGAAAATTTTTATATGAAAGAAAACTTTTTGCAAACTATCATTATCCACCTTGCCATGTCGTCTCGAAAAAAAGGAACTGGATTCGTCTACTTCGAGCCGTGACAAAAATATAATGAACCCCTCTGGTTTAGTACAATGGTTTGAACATATACAAGCCTGAGACATGGCACGGTGCCGTGGGCCTCTTTGATTTCGGACCACTCGCCCATGGGTACATCACCTGCGGCACTTTAGGCGACGACGACAACTCTGTAGTAAAGACAAAGCAAAACAATGACCCCATCACATTCGAATAAAAATACGCCCCAAAACGGGATGCGATGTGGCTTGTTTGGAAATATTCTTAATTTTCATCAATGATCTTTCTGTCTCGATAGTAAGACTAATCAGTTCGACATGGTCATATTGGCAACTGATCTAAAAATGTGACCTACATTCTGTTGTTAACTGGGACAAGGAATGGCATATTAATTTTAACGCCACCAAAAACGAAACTACCCTCTAATAATCGTCTGAAAGAACCATTTCTACCTTCCATCGATATCATTAGGAGAGGGACTCATTACGCATTCTCAGGCTAACATTCTCAGCCGACATGAAGTGGAAAGATTATATTAAATCCATTGCTAGGTCTGCTGCTAGGAAAGTTGGTTCACTGCGTTGTGTTAGACGGTTTTTCTTGCCTGGATCTATCTTACATATTTATAAGTTTATATATTTATAATCATTCTTCCATGATTGGAATATTCCAGCCAGATACGGTCTGGTGCTCCTGCTACATATTTTGAGATTCTTGATAAAATCCAAAGAATCGGCAATATTATTGGTCCTAACCTGGCGTCTCGGTTTCAGTCATTCACCGCAATGTTGCCTCCTTGTGCCTTTCCTATAAATATTTTCATGGTAATTGTTCCGGTTAATTCTTAGTTATGGTACCAAGACTTTATTAATTTAAATGCAGTACTAGATTAACAACAAGGTCTTGTTATACTCCGTCACAATTAGACCTCATTCTGATTCGTTTTGGACGCTGGCCGTGAACGTCAAGAAGGCAGAAAACGGAAGAACAAAAGTCGTTTTCTGCGCATTACGCTCCACGCATCACATCCGGTCAACGAAGTGAGCTCCGGCGGTGGCCAATTGCGATCGTTCCCGCCGGGGAGAGAGATGCCCCTGGGGACTACCAGAGACCGCACACGGCGCTTCTGCTGCTACCGCTGCTATGACCTCGTCCCTATTACAACAATGTTGCGGCCCGTGCGTCACGCAGGGCACTGTTACTGCAGCTTTTATCACCAACACTCGACACGACCGCACCTCTCAACGACCGTTACCACTTCTTGGCTTGACCAATCATCTCGGCTATACAGCTTCAACTTGAAACATCCCATCTCGATTCCTCCCAGCTACAAGCCTTCATTGATACCAGCCTGTGCCGTCGCCTCGGCCTAATTCGACTGCCTTACAAGGTATTCTCTTTAAAGTCGATACAGTGGTCTTCTTTCCATAGAACAGGTCTACCAATCACCGCCGTCACCTCGGCTTACTTCGACTCGTTTACAAGGCATGCCCTTCACAGTCGACACCAGCAACCTTCGTTCCACAGAAAAGGCCTACCAACCCCTGCCGTCACATCGGCCTGACTCGTTTACAAGATATTCCCTTCACAGTTGACACCACAGTTGACACTGACTCGTTTGCATGGTATTCCCTTCGCTGTCGACTCTGGGGCGACTTTCGCCCCACAGAACAGGCCTATCAACCCCCGCCATCACATCGGCCTGACTCGTTTACAAGACATTCCTTTCACAGTTGACACCACAGAACAGGCCTCCCAAAACCACGCTAATCCGATGTCACCCGGGTTCAACGCATCAAATCTATCAACCGACAAAAAGACCAACCACCGTGACCTCGCTCAATTAAACGTGCACAGACGATTTCCTCTGACCTCGGCAACGCTGGCCTAAGAAATGGCTCAACTCTCGACACTGCGGTTACACCAGATCGTTATTCCTTTACTCTTTTGTTTCAATCTAATCCTCTTCACTCCTTTCTCTCGCTACCAAACGTTTAATATAACAATCTCAACAATTCACAGTTGAATTGGCTAAATGTGACCTTAAGTTCTATACTAACAGTTTGTTTTCTCGTACTTCTCGATTGTGGAACTCTCTTTCGCTCCCATGCTTTCCAATTCCATGCTTTTCAGTCAACTTTGATCTTCAAAAATCAAGCTGATATCTTCTATCTTCTTGATTACGCTTCTATTGTTTTCGCTACTTAATAATGTTTCGCTTTTTTCTTATTCTTTCACATTCAGTAACTCCTTGTGTTGTAGTGGCTTTACGTGGGGAGAAATAATTAAAAAAAAATAGAACAAAGTTTATAACACAAATGTGAGGGATTGACAATTCACGGTGTCCTGAAAATGTATATACGCCTGGACAGCAAGCAATTTAAATTTCGGAAAGACGTATTAAGTGGCTTCAAAGCAACGGAAGTGTCCAAAGCTGCATCTCTCTCACTCTCTTTTACCCTTATATACAAGAACACAAATACGATAGATTTGTTAATACATTCATGAAGTGTACAGGACCTAACCCTATTTTTTAATTTGTTTTTACTTTGAAATCTCTTTTAAACAAACAACAGTTTACGCGCCTTTCATACTTATCAAAAGTAGATTAAAAGTCTCTTGTAACCGGACAATAGTTATCATTTTAAAGCTGTAATGGCAAATCCTGAACTTACGCACCTATATATTAAAAATAATATTTTTGTATAAACAAAAATTCCCTCTGTGACATTTTTCCGCTTCCAAACTATATGATAATTAATTTGTGAATAATAATAGTCCGTGAAACACCTCAAACTCTCTGTTTTAAGAGTTTCTCTTGAAAGACAAGCGGGAAACGTAACGATATAAATAATTACTATAAGCTGAAACTACTCTGGTTAGTACATTTGTATATTCTTTAGAAGACGAAGGAAAAAAAATCAGCCATTTCCCCAGCTATGAAAAAAAAAATGACTTAAAACTACATTAACACGGACTTGGGATTTTTTAACAAGCTACGATTGTTTGAATTTATTTTTGAATTGAAACCAGTCGTTCACTCCTGTAATCTGTTTAAGGGACCTTTAGTCACTGATAAACGACTGTTTACAAACGATATGAACCAGTTGTCCCTCTGATCACCACGTGTTTAAAATTGAATGTATGTATCTTTAAAAATAAGATTTATAGATACGTATATATGCACGAATCCTTGGAAATGTTTATTTTAGATACAATTTATAATTTATAGCGGCCACTGATGCATACATACATAAACATGTATATATATATATATATATATATACATATATATTCAGTGAATATTCAGAGCTTCAGCGTATATAAGATTTCCCACACGTACTTCAGTGAAAGTTATTTATTTTAGAAATCTTTCGAGATTTTTTGCCGCGTGTTCTCAAAGAAACCATTTAAAAAATGTACTGTTTTTATTCGTTGTATTATTTACAACACTGAGGACAGAACTGAATGCTTCCGACCAAAGAAAGACATCATAGCAATTACCTAAACGGAATCAATAAATCTCTTTTTTCTTTTTTTTTAAAGGAAGGATTATCAGCCAACTCTCACATTGTCTACTTGCAGGATTCATTTTGCTTTTTATAAATCAATTAATTCGATCTGTAGTGGTTAGTGTCGTTATAAAGTAAATGACAAAAAATTTTTCTTTGTCGAAAATCACACTCACTAACTGATCCATCAATCAGCAAAATTGTATTGGCGATACACTATTGGGCGATCCTGTCTCTTTCGATTCATGACTGACTAGACAGAACTATTTCCGTTTCTTTCTGTGGTTACTGGTTGCCAACCAAGACTACGAGACGAATCTGTAAAATTCACAAAGAAAAGTAATTATTCCATGCTAGTAAGATTCTTTATAAAAAGAACAATCAACCTTTATTTGGAAAAAAAAAAGAAAAAAAAGAAAGAAAAAAAAAAGCAAGAACTTATCAGCCGAGCTCAATCTAAAAGTAATAATTTTATAATTTACAAGTTTTTGACAGCCCAACGAATCAAATATGACCACAGTCAACACCACTCAATCAGCATTGAATGAATTTAACAAGGCATCATTTTACTACCGTCTTCCAGCTTTAGTATTTCTGGGGTTCATGTTACCGTTTGGCATTGTGGGTAATGCTTCCGTGATCTATATCTACGGCTTCCGTCTTAAAAAGAGTAACATTCATTTATTTATTGCTTTATTAGCAGTTTCGGATACTATCAGTTGTTTGGTGGGGATTCCGATGGAAATCTACCGCATGTGTTTCTTCTATAATTATCCTTCCGTCGCCACTTGTAAAACTGAGGGCTTCTTCACGTTCGCCTGTTACATATGTTCAATGCTAATGCTTCTTACAATCTCGGTGGAAAGATACGTGAAGGTGTGTCGGAGTACAAAGACTCAGGTGAGTAGGAAGGTCGCTAAGATTTTGGCCGGTGTCGTCTTCCTCGTCTCTTCTCTCTTGGCCATACCATTACCAGTCTTTGCCGCCCCTTTTCCTTACACACTCGACAACGGGGTCGTTGTGCATAACTGCACCTACCATATCGAACCAGAACTCTGGTACTACTGTATCATATTTTTCGTCGTCCTGATCGGCGTGTTGGTTGCCATGTTCATCCTCTACAGGGAAGTTCTCAAAACCGCCAAACATCATGTGACATGGACACTGCAGAGGAAGGCCCGATCGAGCAACGATGCCATTGATGCGACGCAAGCAGCGAAAACAGTGGAGGACAAAAAATTAAGCCAAACCAACCGGACAGTAATCTGGATTTCGGTCGTGTACGCGGCTAGTTGCATTCCTATCTTCACCATCGCTATGGTGACGAAGCTCTTTACTCATCTCAAGGCGCCCAACTCGCTTGACTTCCTCTTGTTTGTACTCTACCAATCTTGGATTCTTAACTGCACACTTAATCCAGTTGTTTATGGATTCCTAAACGGTAAATTCCGCGACGAGTTTCATAACATCTTATCTCTTATTTTTACCAGAGCGAATATTTTGAATGCAAATTCCTCGGAGAGATCCACCGATTCCACCTTAACTGGTTCCGCAGCAACAATTTAAACGAGTCCATTGCGTTGTCGCATGAATAAACTTCTTTCACCGACCAGCTTACCAGTGAAGTAAATTTTATCTTCAAATCACGCTCAACTCATGGTTCTTTTACAGTTGTAGTTAGCATAGTTTAGTGAATACGGTTCTCACTGGGTGTCCCACTATTTACTGTTTTGTGCCAGATATACATTATTTCTCGTCTACTTCTCTATTTCTCTTTCTCATATATATATATATATATATATTATGAAATATATATATATATATATATTATGAAATATATATATATTATGAAATATATATATATTATGAAAATATATATATATTATGAAATATATATTATGAAATATATATATATATATATATTATGAAATATATATATATATATATATATATTAATATGACAATATATATATATATATATATATATATATATATATATATATATATATAAATATATATAAATATAAAAGAAATGGACTAATTCCGAAAATTATTTTAATATATTTATTGTTTCTTCGTTATTTTTATGGATACAAATATTTTAAGTAAATGCTCTGTTAATAATAAATAGTATTAACAAAATGACAGATCCGTGTAGGATACAGGTTCGATTCCTGTCGGCTAACATACATTTTCTATGAAATTTCTCGAACATTCAGGTCGGTAAATTTTAAATGACTGCTGATTTTCTCACCTTCGTTAATTTTCTATTAACTTAAAAATAACTTTTTTATTTGTTGGATTGATTTTATGTTTGTGTGTGTGTATATGTGTGCGTGTGTGTATGGAAAATTTTTTATTTACATTCTAACTATTGTTCTCGTATTTGCTGTCGTTATCCCGGACGTTCTGCTCTCCGGCCTTCATCCTTATCAGTCCTGGTAGCCTACAGGGAATTCCGAATTGAACACTTTGTTTAATCTACGTATGTAGACTGTTCTCAATCCACAGCCCAGGTCTAGGGATATCTCTCATTTATTGATCGGTTTGTTTACACTGAGTCCAAATACACACTACCCAGTCCAGAAATTGAATACACAATTACTATATCATGAAACTATGTTTTCGTTCACAAATTATTGTATGAAGTGACGTTTTAATTCACTCGGCCTTGAACCGTGGGAATAATGGTCGAAAGGCATTTGTAGGAGCTAACGACATTTACGTTAAGCAGCCTTTGTGATTTTGATGATCGATATCATGTGACAGAACATTAATTATTATAAATAAAAATAAGTTTATATATATATATATATATATATATATATATATATATATATATATATATAATTTTAAACGTTACTTTTTTAGTGTGCACTCGTATTTGAGTAGATAATTTGTTTACTTATTAAGCGGTATATTTATTTATTTATTTTCATTTACCAGCTTGAATGTTCAAGAGATCTCATGAAAAAAAAATTTAAGCTCGTCCGTCAAGTCGAACCTCAGGACAAGGAATTAATCCTTCTCTACATCTTACCGACTTGACCACGTACACCTTTAATCAGGTAACTCTAAAAATAACATTTGAACTGATAGAAATTTCTCAGTTAAAAAAATCTGAAGATACACACACACACACACACACACACACATATATATATATATATATATATATATATATATATATATATATATATATATAAAATTAAACCCGACAATTATTTTAATATATTTTCTGTTTATATATTATTTTATAACAACATTTACCGGCCTGAATGTCCGAGAAATTTCATAGAATATGAGAGAAATCATGGGAAATTTGGAGTTTAAAACAGTAATTTGAGCACGTCAACTTGATGCTTCCTTCGTAGCTAAATTGGTAGAACACATTAGGCTATATGACAGTTTCGTGCAGGATACAGGTTCGATTCTGGTCAGAGAATACATATTTTCTATGAAATTTCGCAGACATTCAGACCGGTAAATGTTATTACCGTTTAATCTAAACAAAGCGAGCATTTACTTAGATAGTTGTATCTATTAAAAAATGACGTATAAACAGAAATATATATATATATATATATATATATATATATATATATATATATATATATATATATATATAAATAAAATAAAATCGATGGATTTCGGTTTCATTCATAAGTGAATTATTTTATTCCCTTTTAATCTATTTCTCTTTCTCTCTCTCTCTCTCTCTCTCTCTCTTTCACACACACACACAAACACACACACACATATATATATATATATATATATATGAGATGGGATGATTGTATGAGTCACGTCCCCTTAAAATTTAGAAATAGGGTACATAACAAAATTATGATAGATTAGATAGACAGATATCAACAGAATGCGATAGATAGATAGATAGATAGATAGATAGAGAGAGAGATAGATAGAAGAAAGAAACGAGACAAAAATGAGACAGATATAAAAAAATGAGGGATAGATATGAATATATATATATATATATATATATATATATATATATATTAAAAATGGACAAGGTCCGACAATTTATTTATTAAAGACATTTTATTATGTTTAAAATAACATAACATAAAATAAAATAACAACGTTAAACATAATAAAATGTCTTTTTAATAAATATATATATATATATATATATATATATATATATATATATAAACATGATAAATGGATTTTTAAAATATATTTTCAAATTTTAACAATTTTTAAAAATATATTTTTCGTTTATATAACCAGACGTTTCTCTGTGGCTGCATGATAACAGCGCGTCAGACTATATGACTGTTTTCATAAGGGTTATAGGTTCGATTCTTGTTGGAGAACGAAGATTTTCTATAAAATTTCTCGAACATTCAGACTGGTAAGTGTAATTAATGCTGTTTAATTAAAGAACAGTGCATTCTCTTAAATAAATTATATCTATAAAAATAGCGTATAAACAGAAAATATATTAAACAATTGTCGGGCTTAATCCATTATATATATATATATATATATATATATATATATATATAGATAGATAGATAGATAGATAGATAGATAGATGATATGAACAGAATGAGATTACTAGATATATAGAAACAGAATGAGATATTATATACAGATAGATAGGAACAAAATATTCACAACGTTTCGATCATTGGACGCTCCGGCCTTCGGTGGACGAAATAAAGGGTTTGATTCGAAATTCCGATCACCTGAAGAAAGCCGGAGAGGGCAACGTTCGGAACATTCTGAATATGGCAACAAAGATGAGGACAACAGTCCGGACAATGTAAATAGTGTGAATAGATAGATAGATAGATAGATAGATAGATATGGATAGACAGACAGAGATAGATAGATATCAAATCTTCGATGGGTACAATGGAGCATGGGGACAGATCATTAAAATTTGATTGAGAATTGGAGACTCACTGGCTGAAAATCTATATTTTTAAACACACACACGGTCAACCACTGACAGACACACCTTTGCATGAATGCATAAAACCGACAGACACACACGCACACACACAACCACCGACACACACACACGCACACACGCACAACCACCGACAGACACACACGCACACACACAACCACCGACACACACATCTATCTATCACAATATCCGACAGATACACATTTACACACAAAACCACCGACAGACAGTCACACTACACACACACACACACACACACAATAACATACCCAAATATGCTGAACCTTTTTAAAAACTAATTCCAGAATGTTTTGTTTTTTTTAACAGACCTCTATACTAATACGGGATTTTTTATGTGGGGTACTGCGTTTCGCATGGATATGGATCAAAGAGAAAAATATACCCAATCTATCGAACACTGCAATGAGGAAGGATGCCTTCTCCCAATTCTCGGTAGGGGAGAATAGATTACCTACTCTGATCCAGACCAAACGGCCGAAAGCATCGTTATGTACCTGATGTTTCCTTATTTTTTTAACAGAAATCGTTTTTCTTTTTTTACATTTTAGTGCGCATACACATGAACGTAATACTTTAGTTTAGGACAAGAACTGCCCAGTCTCCGTGACCACTGTCAAGATGGCGTCGATATTTATACCAACCCTTACATGTTTGCAATGAGGTATAATTGCTGTCGGAGGTTGGAAATTATGAACTGGACACCTTCTCCCATCACAAATGAGGAGAGAACAGATACTACGCTCTCATCGAGACCAACAGGCCAAGAAATGAATTAGGCGGATTTAATGTCAGACTCTTCGAAAGAAACTCAGAAAATTTAAAAAAAAAATTATCTTTCAATATAATTTTTATATATAAATATATATTGTTATTAATTTTTTTGCAATGAAAACTCTACTCAAATGATCAAATATATTTACATCTAAAAATATATATTTTATATATCAACATCTAAAAATTAAAATATATATTTTATATATTTACATCTAAAATTTTTCAACTGTTTTCTTATAGAGAAAAAAAGCAAATAATACGGACTTGACAAGCATCTGAAAAACAAAAAACTCTTGCTAAGAGTACAAATTATAATCTCATGATAATCCCATTTTGACTCTGCAGCTACATTTCTATTGGCTGGAAAATATTACTTGGTTTGTGCTGATTGGTCGGATTATATTTCTACGGTGAGTATCAAAGAATTATTTTTCCGTAATTTTTTAATGACATTTGCTTCGCACATTAATATTCCATGATTTGTTTCAGTGAATATAATTCATTTTTTGAAACTACCAGTAAGGAAGGCGGTAAGTATATATTTATACAAGCGTATACAATGCTTATTTATTGTGCTATAAATATCATAATGATTATCTCATGTCAAGGTTGTCATTGAATGTAAAAGATCTGCCTATATTTCTGAGATGAAGTATTGTAACTATTTACACTATTTACATTATTCCGATTCTTGTCCTCATCTTTATTGCCATATTCACGATGTTTCAGCAGTTGTACGCTCCAGCCTTCTTCAGGATCTGTCTATATTTCTGAGATTAAGTATTGTAATTATTTGCACTATTTACATTGTTCGGACTGTTGTGCTCATCTTTATTGTCATATTCACGATGTTTCGGC